CATACAGTTTGTAAGCAATATAAGTCTCTGTGTTTACTTGGTTGGGTCTGAGTGGCTGTGGGACTGGTGGGTGATAGAAATTTGTCTTGACTCTGGGCAAGACAGGAGAACTCTAGCTACAATGACGCATAGTTGTTTGGTCAAATGCTAGTCTAGATGTTGCTGTGAAGGCAACTCATAGGCTAAAATCAACTAATTTTTAAAAATTAACTGATTTTTTAAAAATCTCCTTTAGAAGATGACTTCAAGAATGTATCTTGCAAATACATGGCACTCACATGGTCAGTCCAAAATCTTAAGAACAATCTAGGTTTCCTTGTTAAGAGCCAGAAGGTGGAAGGGAGCAGCGTCAAAACTAGTTTTCAAGCACTCAAGGAGACAAAACACAGCATGCATATTTTACTTCACAGGGTGGATGCCCTCCTGGTTTTATCAGCAGAGGCCAGTCTCTAGCTACCCAGCCCACATGTGACAGGCAGCTGAGAATGTCACCTCTGGAGAGGAGTTTGGACCATTGCTGTGGTATTCCTAGGTTTTAGAAGGGGAAGAATCTGAAGGTTCTTGGAAGCTGAACAACAGGACCGGAAAATTAGGGCTGGGGATGGCCTGAAGGGGGGCTCGATTCACCTCAAACATGGGAGACATATAGGGTGCTTAGGAATCCTGGCCAATACACTGGAATCCAGAGTCTGATTTCATATGGAAATGTCTTAAGCAGCTCCAGGATATGGGAAAACCAAGAAGACTGCTAAACCCACTGTTCAAAACAACCTTAACCCAGCAGCAAGGCTAGATCACGCTGGGATATTTTTTTGGATAGTGCGTTTGATAATATGCAATTATAAGGCATCTGACCTTTCAATTTTATTTTACTTCAAACCACGGGCTACTAGAATATTCTTCCTTAGCTTTGTGGCTGGCTTGAATTTCAGCTGGAGAGCACTGATTTATAAAGGTAGAGTCTGATCCTGGCTACTCATCGCCCAGCTACTGGCCATCGACTCAAATCTTTTATGAAATAAGAGAATAGCTGAAAATGTCGTCCATATCCACTAGCAGGTTGGCACCCTCCTTTCCCCCTCTCCCCCAGTTCTTTTTAAGAAACAAGTCCTTCCCAGATGGCTGAACAGGTTGCAAACTCCGCAAGAACGACGCAGCCCAGGGACAGGGTGCTGCTCAGACCACAGAGACTGCAGATTTGTTTATTTTTCACTATCGTATCCTGGCACATGGCAGGAAAGAGTCTTGTTCTGATAAGATGGGCACATTACAATGAGCCTCTAACAGGAGGGACCATGGTGTATGGATGAGGGAGACGCCACTTTCTGATTGACACACAAACTGTAGCGGGATTATTGGCCCTGGCAGACCCTCGAGGCTTGCCAGCTTCTACTCTAAGGAGCTGCCTTCTTGGTTGGCCTTTATCCCTTGTGGGAGCCCACAAAAGCTTCCTAGTTAGACCTGAGCTTGCATTACATGGCAGGGCTGCATTAGGGGATGGATTGACCATATGTGTGGTTACCAGGTGTTTGGGAAGGTCTTGGCTGTGCTGGGGGAAGGTCTTTTGGTCCACTCCCTGGCATTCCTTTAAAAAGCCCTTTAGTAAAGACAGAAGGGGATGGTGGGATTTGACCCAGGCCCTCCTGAGGCTATTCTATGTTTCTAACTGTCTCTCTCCTCTATATTTCTATCTAAATCTCTTATCTTCACTTCTCAAGAGTCCATGGGGTAAATAAATGTGGGAGCTGGCCCCCCACAACCCTGCCAAAGACCTGGCATATACAATATAAGGACTTCAGTGAACATGCTGAAGCCTCAATTGTCCAAAAACCATCGGCATCTGTGTGAGCAGGACCCAATAACCAGCCAGCTCCAGGCTCAGGGTTAGCCCAGGATGGCCCACTTACCTTTTCATTTTTCTTGTCGTCTGGCTTGTACCCTGTGTTGATGGGGCTGGGTATGGACAGGCCACTGATGGGCGGCCCTCCAACCTCCCCGCTGAGGTTGGCGGCACTGACGTTGGGCGGCGTGATGGCCGACGCTGCCGACGTGAAAGGGACGGCTGGCCGGGCACACATCGGCGTCGGGGGCTGCTGGCTGTGCTGTGGGGACACCACAGAGCGGGGTCGGAGGCTGGTGGCGGGCAGGCGGGATGGAGAAGTCTGAGTGCGCAGGGGCGACACGGTGGCCGTCGGTCGGTCCAGGGCCTGGGCTGAGGGATGGGTAGCTGGAGAGATGGTGGATTGAAAGGTTAGCGTGCACTTGGCCATGGGACTGCAGCGCAGGCTCCTCTCAGGCTTGACCTCTGACCTCTGAGGGTTCTGAATACTCCAGACTTGGCTACCGTTGCTGGAGGAGAAACTGAGGCCAAACAACCCTGAAATTGCACTCTTTACTCTGGCTCAGCATAGTCCTTATCCCAGGTGCCCCAGGGAACACCAGACCATATTAATCCAGTGTTTCCTTACATTATTATTTTTTTTTTATATCACACTTACTGGAACTATTTCTTACCACTGAAATTGGTTCTGTTCCTGCAGACATAGGAGAAAAATACACAATGCAAACAATATTCAGGCTCCAAATGTGCCACAACTATAAAATACACTTGGAAATCTTAGCGATGTGCCTGCAAGTGGGAGGCCTCTCCACATTGCACTCCATGCCTTCAGCTGTAAGCCGGCCCTTCCTCTGACATCTTCCAGGTTCACTCAGGCCATGGCGTCTTAAGGCTACAGGTGATCTGTATATACAAGGCCATATAGAAAAAGGCCTGAGGTATGGGTTTCTTTAAAGTAATTATTTGTGGTTTCAGAGGGGTTGGGAACCCAGCATTTGGACATCCCGGACAATATGCCTTGTGTCGTGAGGGAAAGGCCCAGTGATTATTCAGATCAATGAAGCCATTGGGGGGCGTTCATCCCCCTTCAACTCTTGACTAGGACTGTGGGCTCCTCCGCTTTGCCTACTGCCTGAACCCTCCTTTACCACAACCTACCAGTCCTTGCGGGGGGTGGGGTGGGGGAGTGACAGGAGCCAGCCAAAAGCCATTGCCCTGGAGCCTGTTGTCTCTAGCGCTGCTCAGGGCTCCCCATGCAGCCTCCTGCTCTGCCTTCTAGAAAGATCCATCCAATCAGTGAAGATGCACAGTGTGACCACCACCTGAAATCTTGAATCGTCTCCTCCTATAGGTACTTAGCACACCACTTAACAGTCTATATCGTTCATTCATTTATCATGTATCAATTGTTCCTTGTCTCTCTCCCACTACGCCGTCAGCTGAGCTCTGGGAGTCTGGGGAACAATGGCTGTTCAATTCACTAATAGAATGCATTCCACATCCCTGGAATGGCGCCAGGCATGTGGAAGATGCTTAATATAGTTTATAATGAATGAGTGATTACTTGAGAAGGGAGAACTCCCAGCTGAAGCATCACTAATCATTTCACTGAAATTAATCATTAGAGAAGAAAAAAAAAAATGCCCAACGACGCAAGCACAGCCCATTGCCCAGGCCGCCTAGGTTCCAACTCACCAGTGATCCTATTAGCAATGCCAAAGCAGCTATCCATTCTTTGAAGAGTAAGCAGCAGTAAAGGCTGGTAGAGAGCACACGTTCTCTAGGTCTTTGGTTTGCACTTTGATGGTGGCTTCTAACACTGGTTTCCCCCCCAGCCCCCACCCCCAGCTCTCTGATCTGTCCCCAGCACCTGGAATCACCCTGGAACTCGTCCAGTTCTGGAATATTCTCTGTGACTGTGCTTTTGATGCTTCTGTCTCCAGTTGCTCTATTTTCTGTCAAGGAAGCCCCGTCATGAGCGGTGTGAGCACCCCAATCCACCCTCTAGCTGAGGCTGCTCTTTCAACCCGTTCTTCTCTGCCCTGTTTTTCTGGCACATTCCTCTGTACGGCTACAATGTGAAATATACACACTCCGCAGCCTCTGCTGCCTACACTGTTTGATTCCCCACATTTGAAATGGGATGTCTTTCCCATCCTATTTCTGATTCATAGACATTTCATTTCTGACAGCTCCTGATTTTTCTTTCTCTCTTTTGTGGATTTTATTCCTTGCTTTGGAAGACGGTCCCCTGTCCTCTGTATGTCTATCTCTGTCTGATTTCTCCATGTCTTGGGGACCTTTCACGTGCACTTTCCCTCCCCTGCTTTGAAATCTCAGTGAGCCAATTCACACCCATCTCTTGCTCCGGACCTGGCCCTCCCTGGGTCTTCCAGTTAGTTCTGTGGCCCTTCTTTGTGTAACAGTTTCCTCCAAATTGAAACATTTCTCTCCCTGGGGGATACAGGGAAGCTTGTTTTTGTATTATTTTATTCACTCAAGAAGTAAACAAGACCTTCAAGTCTCAGAAAACTGACCCTTAAAAGACGCAGCCAGTAGGTTAGAAGAGACTCGGATAGATTGACTGACTGATCTGCCTACAATTTGGGCATGGAGCTGCAAGCCTCCAGAACTCCCGAGTCCTCCACCCACGCTAAGGTGGGCTTCTTGTGATGTAACTGCTATGGAGTCATAATGCGTCCCTGTACGTAACCCCTCGCCAAGGCTTTGTTAAGTACGCCCAGTGAGTTAGTTTCTTTGCCAGGTTTAACTTGGGACTGCTGGTCTGCCGTTGGTGTTTGGAATTTAGGGTTGGAGAGGCAGGGAGTCCAAGAGAAGGCACTGGATCCAACTGTCCTTCAGTCAGGAGGTAACTAATACTGCAGGAGGTGGGGCAATGTGGTGGCACATGCCTTTAGTCCCAGCACGTGGGAGGCAGAGGCAGACTGAGCTGGGTGAGCCAGAGACGAGCCTGGTCTACATAGGGAGTTCCAGGCCTGCCAGGGCTACATAGTGAGACCCTCTCTCAACACAACCAAACATCCCCAGCAAACCAACAAACCCTGCAAGGAAGAAGGCAGAGTAGTATGGGCAGGTCTGAAATAGTTTACGATTCTCCAAGGGAAAGCATAGCCTGTTCTTTTACCGAGTAGGGGGGGACAAAGGGTGGTGGCCAGAGAGAATGGGCTGGTTCCAGGTCAGCTGACATCATCCAAGAGACTAACGAAGAAGTAATCAAATCTGTGCATGTTCAATCCAGACGCTTTTTTCCCTTCAATATTTTTGATCCATCACTAGTTGGATCCACAGCTCTGGAGGGTGGACCATATATAGGAATACATTTTTTTTTTTTTGTATACTGATTTTGTATCTTGCAATGCTGAATTCATTTTTAAGTTGTAGGGGTGTGTATGTGTGTATGCCTTGGGGTTTTCCATATCTAAAATCCTTATGTCCACAACTAGGAAGTTTCACTCCCCCCCACACCTGTGTACCTCACACTCCCCATAGGGAAAGCCTCCCATCTTTGACCACCAAGTGTGAGGGCATCTGTGTGTTCTCACAGGGCGCTTTCATCACACACAAGTTCCCTGCCATCGTTCATTTTCTAAAGTTCCTTAAATAAGGAGTAGATCCTGGGTTCTGGGAAATACTTTGTTTTTTGTTTTTGTTTTTGTTTTTGTTTTTGTTTTTCAAGACAGGGTTTCTCTGTGTAGCTTTGCACCTTTCCTGGAGCTCACTTGGTAGCCCAGGCTGGCCTCGAACTCAGAGATCCACCTGGCTCTGCTTCCCGAGTGCTGGGATTAAAGGCGTGCACCACCACCGCCCGGCTAATACTTTGTTTTTGGGATAATCACATTATTTTGGTCATGAACAAGATGAAGTACGTAAGTTGTTTAATGTTAATCCAGCCTTGGACTCCTGGGATAACCCCACATGGGGAGTTACTAACTTTCTCAATTGCTACCCAATTAGATATGGTCTGTGATTTTTATTGTCTTATGAATTTTTTAATTAAAGTAATGCTGGCTTTATGGAAAAGGACAGGAAGTATTCTCCCCCCACTTTTTTTTTTCAATTTTCTAGGCAAGTCCAGAAAGTTGTTTATTACTGCCCCATTGTTTTAAATTTAAATGTTATAATTTCCCCTTTGGTGGTTTTATATAATTTACCAGTGAAGTCACATATCCTAGAACTTTGTGGGTGTTTTAAAACTAGAAGCTCAGTTTCTTTTATAGATATAGGCCTATTCAAGTTATTTCTTGTTAATATGTCTGCCGATTTTATGTCTTTAAAGGATTATTTGAATATGTTCATTTCATCTATCGAGAGAACTTATTCACACAAAGATTTTACAATAATTTCTTATGATCTGGCAGACTCTAAAATGATATCACTTTTGTTATTTCTGGTGATGTTGACTTTCATATTTGTCCCTTTTTACTTAGTGCAGGTGGCTAGAGGTTTATTAATTTGATGACTGACCTTCTCAAAGGACCCCCTTTTAGTTCAGTCAGTTTTAATATCCCTGCTCTGTCTTACTCCCTCTTGGTCCATCACTCCATTTAGCCTAGAGGCTATTAACTTGATAAGCTTCTTCGTGTCCTACCCTGGATATTCCATGTCGTAAATTCCCCCTCAAAGATTGCCTTGGCCGCAACCCACACATTTTGATATGTTGTGTTCCTTTTTATTCATCTCAAAATGTTTCCTACCTTTTATTTCTTCCTTGATCCACTGATTATTTTGAAGTTTATTATTATGTTTTTGAACAATTATTTGTGATCCCGATTTCCAGTTCAACTCCACCGTGGTTGGGGATGTAATCTGTGTGACCCAAGTCCCTTTACATGTACTAGAGTTTTACATATCATGGCCCAGACTATGGGTGAAGACGGGAATGTCATGTGTGCACTTGAAAATAATGTGTATTTTGATGTTGATGGGTAGGGCATTCCCTAACTGCTAATTAAATTAAGTGGTTATGGCTGTACTCTAATGCTCTATACTATTACCAATAGTTGATACAATTTTGAGAGAGACTACAATCTTACCTTTGTGGATTTCTCCGTGCCTGTCGGCAGCTTCATCCATTGTTGCTCACGCGTTTTCAAAGCTTTATAATTTGGCTCATTAATACTTAGAACTGTTATGCCGTCCTAATGAGCTCAGTCTTTGCCCCCTTATGTAGCTGTCATTACCCCAGTGACTCGTGGCTATCCATTCTCCTGCCTGACATTAGTAGATCAATTTTCTTTTGATTAATATTAGCGTGGCACACTCCATCCTCATTACTGACAGAATCTCTATTTGCATATCGTCCCACTAGCTATAATCGACGTACAACTTCCAAAACGATGCCTTTGGTCTTCTCCCGGCCACTTTGAAATGTGAAGCCTAGCAAAAATATTTAGGCTGCCTGTCATGCATCCTCCTTGGAGTTTGAAGGAGGTGACGCTGCGCTTTTGTCTTAGCTCTCAAACGGAGGTGACAGGAGGAGGGAGCCATGATGGACAGAGGGATTGGAATCTCACCTCTGGCAACTGAGGGTGGGGATTCCTCAGGCCAGTCACCTCGCACTTCTGAACCTCATTTTCTCCTCTATAAAATAAGGAGCATGGCAGCAATGATGGTGAGACTGTCCTCTATGTGAGACAGGCACCCACACACACGTACCGGTGCACACACGCATACTGGTGCACACACGCACTGTTTCATCCATGAGATACAGTAGCACAGTTGCAGGTACGCAGTGTCTGGGCTGCAAGTGCCAGGAACACGTGGCTTCTGTCCTCTCCCTGAAGTCCTGACCGTGACACTTTGAGGTAGGAATGTGCGTCTCTTGTTCATAGCACAAGTTGGTATTGTTTTTGTTTCCCTGCTTCTAATAAAACCCGAGAATGCAGCCCCAGCTCCACAGGGGTCTAGTTAGACCATTTACTTGGAATGTGATGGTCTGTATGATGAAGTTTATCACTGTACCACACCTATCCCCTCTTTCCTAGGTGTTCTTTATTTCCTTCTGCTGTTTCTGTCTTGCTTTGGGACTAACGGAATGTTTCTGCAATATGATTTGTCTCCTTCACTGTGACGTTCTGCGTCTGTGTGGGACGGCATCTTTCTCTTATCGCGGTCTCTCACCAGACATTGTACAGCTCTACCAACACAGCAGAAGAGCAGACAGCAGGAGACAGCACTTCCCTTTCTCTCCCCCGCCCGGACTTCTGTCTTCTTGTCATTATAGATTTTAATTTTATCTGAGTTTAAATCCCATAACCAACATTGCCCTGATTGTGTTTAAATTGTCTACTGTATTTTAAAGGTATTTAAATAAGAAAAACCCTTATGCTTTTATTTATGTAGTTACCATTTTTAGTGCTTTTCATTACTTTGCAATGTGGATCTCCATCCTTTTCAACTTCTGTTAAACTTTGAACAATTCTAATAGTGTAGCTCCATTTCTGACCATATCTGTAAGTTTCACGGTCTGATTTTTTACTTTGTTTTCATGTTTTAAAAGATCGTTTTTTGCTGGGTATAGAACCACAGATTGATAAACACACTTCCTCCTGGTTTTCACTGCCTCCTCACTTGGTCTCTTTACCCGATACTTACATCATTCCTATCTTTGTTGCTACTAACATGTTATTTCTCTGGTTACTTTTAAGATTTCATTTATCATTGATTTTGAACAATTTGATTATGATTTGCCTTGCTGCAGTTTTTTTTTATATGCTTCTTATTTTAGAGTCTACTAACTGCTTTAAGGTATGAATTTATAATTTCACCAAACTTAGAGCAACTTTGGTCATTATTCCTTCAAGTTGTATTTCTCTCCTTTGAGAGTTCAAATTATACACACATTGGGTCATTTAAGATGTCCCACTGTTCACTGACACTCTGTTAACTTTTAAATTTTTTTTGAGAATTTCATGGAATAATACTGTAGTTACATAATTTCACCCCTCCTTCAACTCATGCTCCATCTCAAATTCATCATTAGTTCTTTACTTATCACTCGCTCACAGAGAGAGAGAGAGAGAGAGAGAGAGAGAGAG